TATTTTTGAGCACAATATCATATCGCTTAGCAATCACAGACAGGGTCCTCAATTTGTACGCTTTCGATTCTGTTTTGTGTATACATAATTATCATATGCATATGGGTATCCAGTTTTTTTTGCTTTTCATTAAAACACCAATTACCACTGCCTCCATACTAAATATTTACTGAATGGTTATCCGTAGTATTTCTATATAGTCAGGGCAAGGATACTAAATAACCTAATACCCTAGGCATGTTTAACTAATATTCTAATATAATTAACGTACCTATCCTCAAATTAGAACACTCTGTATATCAAGTATGAGCAAATGGAGGAATTCCAACTCATACAGTTTTTTAATTCATTATATTATTTCTGAATCAGACTGGTCTGACCCTGTACATACATACATACATTCATACATACATACATTCTTTGGAAGTTGTCTATGTCAAGTCCAAGGGAAGAGTTGTAGTTTTCACCTTTTGAACTGTGGGTCAAGAGTCGATTTCTGGGATTTTGGGAGATAAATCAGTTAAATATTTGCTATTCGTTACGCCATGAGGGAATCCCGATATCTGCACGGTGACTGCTTTTTTTTTAATCGAACTTGTAATCAAAAGGCAAGGCTCTTAATTGTTGCATACTTATTAAGAAGCACGCGATATTGTACACTGCTCAACAATCGGACAAAATGCGATTTTTGTCAAGATATCAGGTATTTTCGTCGAATAGGTCTTCGAATTAATTTTATCTATACAGGGTGTTTCAAAAAACCTAACCCCCTTGCTAGGGTAGGTAGAACATTTCAAAATAAGTTGGGTTTATGTCGGAACGCCATCCGTTTTCAAGATACAAGGTGTTGAAGAAATATTTTGACACACATTCACATTTTTTACGATTATGTCGAATCTATACTGTCAATATTGTGATGAAATTTTGTATGGATGTGTTCAGAGAGCTGAGACACCGCATGAATTTGTTTTTATATCTAACACTCATAGATGGCGCTAGTTACAGGATTCGTACCGAGTACTTTTGAACATAATTTTTTTGAGGTTAGATTTTTCACTTCAAATTCAATGTGAACTTGAACATCATTCAATTTTGAACTAAAAAGGTGCTCTTGGTAAAACTTGATACTGTGTACCGTTTTCGGGATATTTCGATTTGAAAATGCTGAAGTATAACACCTATGCTAGTTGAAAGGTAGTAGTAAAGGTAAGTAGGTATTATAAAAGACTGTTACCTATTTATTGATAACCACGACAAGAGCTGCAAGAAGGAATTGAACGTCACTTCGATGATCTCATAGCTGATCCTCAACCGTTGAGAAGATTGATGCATTCTTCAGAAAAAAGGATCGAATTGTGTATTCGTGAAAACGGAGGACATTTTGGACACTTACTCTAACTAGATGATGTTTTTAGTCAAATTCAATCAAATATTTTCTGATATGATTTTGATTAATCGATAACTTCAGCAGTTGAATAATGTCAATGTTTTTTGTCCTATAAGTAAATAGATAATTGTTTTTTATAATACTTATTCTCATACCAGAATCAGAGGTATTGCTTCAGCATTATCAAATCGAAATATTTCAAAAACGGTACACAGTATCGAGTTTTACCAAGAGCATCATTTTGTTGAAAAATTCAATGGTGTTCAAGTTTACTTCGAATGAGGACCAGTAAATCTAACCTCGCAAAAGTTATGTTCAAAAGTACTCGCTACGAACCCTGTAACCACCCCCCCCCCCTTTATGAGTCGTGTCAGATATAAAAACAAATTCATGCTGTGTGGTCAGCTTTCTGAACACATCCATACAAAATTTCATGAATGAACATTCATTGAATCGATACTATAGAATTCTACTTCTCCCTCGATATCTAAATCGACCTATTTCTTTTGAAAGGTGTACTAACCGCAGATCAGAAGACATGCAGGCAAATCTGAGCCCTGTAAACAAACAGAACAACTCACAATTGAATGTTACTGTAGAAAATATGACCCGTTGCTTTTTGGCTATGATGGTAGTACTCGAATTATGGTTTGCAAAAACAACATAAATCGCATTTTACAATAGTTTACTACCCAGTAGCAGGAGCTATTAAAATTTTTCCATGAAATTACGAATGTTATTCTTGTTGCAGAATCGGAGGACTTATGTATAAATCACAGAAACGTTAGGGGCGAATGTAAAGTAATCAACAAGTGTCAGAGTCTATTTGCGATTCTGCAGCATAGACCAATCAAATCGGAAGATGCAGATCACCTCAGACGATCTCAGTGCGGTTTCGAGGGGACACTGCCAAAAGTATGCTGTCCGTTGGGGGACACTGTAAGCTCTACGACTCCCGTGCCACAGATTGACAACGAAGGTTTGGAGATATATTATCATAGTCTACTGCTGTTTCTTGTCTTTCCAACCTCCACACTGAGAAAACTCGGCCAAGTAAATTTTTTCTTGAAAAAAGTCGTTTGTGACAAGAACATTTTCACCAACGGTAGGAAAATATGGTACTTGCAGTAGGCAAAACTATATTTCTGGAACGAAGTTTCTGCTGTAAGTGATCAGAACACTTGTTGGTATCAACCAAGTCGATATGTACTTAGAGTTCGCTAATTCTAAGTGAACACTTAACTAGTGCTAGGTTAACGAATACTCACTATTATTAAATTATTTTTCTGACATAAGATCACTTGCTCTGAGCGTACTCATCAATAAAGACAATCTATCAAGTCGATTGTTGCAGGTGACAGCTCACCTGTAGTTATCGATCTCTTTTCCGTTCGGACATCTCCGATATCATTCGAGTACCCACGCCAACGCGATCCCTGTCCAGCAATCCACGAGTCCACGGCGTCATTTCGATCTTAGCATTCGTGAAGTTAGTATACATGCGTTCCCGCTAGTAACATTGAAATTCCAAGTCATGCAAGTGCCCTTTCGAACAACTAATATATGATCTAAGAATATATCATATTCGTATGAGAATTCTCTGTTTGTGTGCCGCGCACTGAGCTGGGGGGTGTTGAGTTCTTGATCTGTTCTCTTGAAGGAGATAATGAAATACAAAACTCTTCTAGAACAGTACATAATTGTTGTGACGTTTAAAAAGTAAGAAAGTTGATTCATCTTCAATGCTAGAAGGAAAAAGATAGTGAACCAGAGTGCAGTGCAGTGAGTGAGAGTACCGTTTTTCTCGGTGAATGATGACGCGGTATCTAGTATCTCAATATTTGTCGTCAGTCTTACCTTTTTTGTCTTATTACCAAGGTTTTATCATTTTTCAGAGAACAATGGAGGTATTTTTTTATAACTAGCTTATGACAAGTGAATAAGTCACTATTGACAAGTAAATAAGTCACTAATGACATGTAATTAGGCCACTAATGACTAGTGAACAAGTCACTAATGAAAAGTGAATGGGTTACTAATGACAATTGAATAGGTCACTGATGACAAGTGATGTGTTCACTAATCGTTATCAATCTGAAATTTGATGAAACAAGTCAATAGTGGTAGGTGTACATTTTCAGGAACACAAATATTCTTGTGGTCATTAACTTGTTTCCTTATCCCATATAGTATGCAAGTTTTTACTTGCCACTATTAAATATTCACTTAGGGTTAGTGATTCTTTTTCTCCGTGCACCTCAGCCATCTCACAACAGTATATCTATAGAAGATTTCAGGAATCCCATTAATCTTCTGACTTTGGAATCTTCCTATAGAGTAAAATGGATAATATTCATCTTACAAAGAGATATCAGCTCTTCTATGTAGTAGGTATACTTTCAACTGAATGGAAGTTCAGTTCTATTCGCAGTATAGTACCTACCTGTTTCAAATCCTTTTCATTTAGATATGATATGTCGAGAGAATACTTAAGTAAAATGGTCGTAGCAAGCTTACCAGACATTTCCGACCCTCGAAATACTCACAAAATACCCACTGATTATCCTGAAAGCAAATACATAAAGACTAACTGATTTGTAAATTTCTATAGGCTGTTATGAGTGAACAGAACAATCTTCTTTAGTGAGTACCTGAACGTTGTAGGTTTGGACCTCCGTTGTTTTAAAACAGTTATATAGGTGACTTTTGATTTATATTCAATGAATTCTAAATCCAGGGTCACTTTTATATTCCAACGAATACAGGGTGTTGTGGTTTCACAGTGATTATCTTCGACATCCTAAAGAATTGCTACTTATTCTACAGCGCCACACCACCGATTTCGACGAACTTTTTTCGATTTATGGAGCTTGAAAAACTGTACTTCACTTGGAAACATATTTTGTTTTGTACAAAAACCAAGGCCTACTGCGTATATTGTTATAGGTTAAAATTCAAGAAATGATATTAACGATTTTTCTACGAAAATTTTGATGTCATCATTGGATTCAGCACTTCTTAAAATGGTTGTATATCAAGTTTCATAAAGAAATATTCGATATTAGGTAATATTTCTGTGGCCAAATCAAAATTAACATTGTGGTATGAGAGTATGGTTGAATAATAACTAAAGAAATCGTTGGATTGGTAGGGAGAGGCATTTCATTCAATGGCCGCCAAGATCGCCGGACCTGACACCAGTGGATTTTTTCTTTGGGGTATTGTGATGCAAAAATCAGCAAAGTCCAGACCGCAGTCAGTAGGATAACTATACGCATCAACGAGATTCTCAATAATGAATATTTTTTATGAAACTTGGTATAGAACCATTCGAGTAGGTGGTGAATAAAATGGTGAGTTATAATTCCTCGTAACAAATTTTTCGTCCTGCAGTACAGTTTTCCAAGCTCCACAATTCAAGAAAATGAAGTTCGTCGAAATCGGTGAATATATATCAATTTCATTAAGGTGTTCCTCTTACAAGTGGTTGACACTGTATATAAATACATAGAAGGTATTTACAAGTTGTTAATTTCTTGGAATTGAGCATGTATTCATCCATCGCCCATAATAATTTATACAATTGCAAATAACTCAGAGTTGAACGATTGTGATGTTAGTTACTAAAGTCATTGAAAGGAGTATTGTTTCAGCTCACCCAGCCGATAGTCCTTTCTTACCTTCTAGCGACCAATGTGGTATAGAATCTTCAGATAGAGTACTTGGAGGAGAGGTAGCTGGTTTGTCCGAATTCCCATGGATGGTCCTTGTCGAATATCAGAAAGGTTAGTTGATCAACTAAAAGCAAAATGTTCGAAGGTTTCGGCATAAGTATATAAGAAGATAAATACGGAAATTTTGGGCTCCAAGAGATAATATATATTGTATTGAAAGGAGCAGGTTATTATCAATCTCTGATATTGATGTTACGTTTTGAATGGATTTAATTTTATCATCAGATGGATGGTTCCTCTATACTCTTCAATAAGATAACTATACAATATACAACCTTCAGAATTCATATTGTTTTGTTCTAAATTTGTTGTTGTATACAGATATAGATTGTCCTCAACTGTCACAGTAACTTAGTTTCCATCTTGAAGAGCTGTGTACAATCATGTACTCTCAAACGTACTCTTCCTGAATTTGTCCTGTTGAAATATAATTATTGTACCTACTGTGATATTGATTCATCTTAAGATGACATAGACCAACTTCTTTCCAGATAATGGACAACGTGGATTTTACTGTGGTGGAGTGTTGATAAGTTCGAAATACATACTGACTGCAGCTCATTGCATCAAAGGAAAAGATCTTCCGAGATCTTGGAAACTGTAAGTTGACAGGATGTTTGAAACATTTCAGTTCAATTATTATTTTACATATACTCAATGAGATATATCATATTGAAATTCATTATTTTTGTCACAAACAATGATCAAGTTATTCTATCTCAGAGTACCATTCATCTAGAAAACTCTTCTTCACAGACAAATGCTCACTTAGTTGGGATACGGGTAGATAAGTTATAGGGCTACGAGGACAGAATCACATGTATTTTTTCTTATGCTGGAGACTTATTCTGATCAAAAGTGACGTGTTTCTGAAAGGACGTTGCACATAATTATGGTACCTTAACTTGAGGAGTGAGTCCCCAATCTGTGCTTCAAATTTATTGGATGTTCGATGCAGTACTATTTTCGTATACTTATTCGATATACAGGTTGTTCCTAACCCTCAAGATCGATAAATTGCCCTGCTCACTCAGATTTTGCCCTCGTAGCCCTATAGTTAATCTACTGACAAGATATCGTTCATTTCCTTCACAATTATCTGAATATTTCAGGGTTAGTGTACGTCTAGGAGAATTCAACACTGAGAACGACACAGACTGTGTTCACATTGGTAATCGTAAGAAGCCAGTTTGTGCTCCACCTCCACTAAATATTCCAGTAGAAGAAACCATCGCTCATGAGAGTTACAATCCATACGATGTCAATCAGTACCATGACATTGGTCTGCTTAGGCTTGCCAGAGAAGTCACTATGTCAGGTAAGAAACCTCATGATCTTTAACGAGCAGTTTTGGAGACAGTGGCTGAATGATCAAATACGAGAATATACTGAAGTGGTGACTACTGTTACATAGACTACATTGGTCAAATACGTCGAGGCATTGGCACAAGATATAAAGAACATATTACTTACTTCAGATATAATCGTTTTGATAAATCAACATATTCTGAGACTTGTCACCCAGTCACTTTAGAAACTATGGAACTTCTTGAATCATGCTACAAACAGTAGAGAATTGGACAATTTGGAAAGTATTTACCTTAATCAGTTAATCAGTTAACTCCTAGTTCCAACCACTTTGAACATCAAACCTGCGATGTTCATTGGATCGAAAGCCGCTCTCTGAGTTGTAGAATAGTTCAGCATTCTATAATCACTCTCACTGTTAATGCTGTTTATTTCTGGTCAGTCAGCTGATCGTTACTTCTCTTTCAGTTCCACTGAGGCTGTCAACTTGGTTGCCGCAATACGTATTTAGGCTTTTCTGAATATTATTGTGATTTTTAGCAATATCTTTTTTTTTGGCTAATGATCTTCAACAAAATTAGCAATTAGCTCATGACTGATCGCACAGAATTTGGAAATACTTCTTGTTTCTAGTTGTAAAATGATGTTAATGTTGAAGGAAATGCTGAATCTTTCGATAGTCTTTCATACAGTTCTGATCTGCGAATTGAATTTCAAATCTCTGCATGAGAGAATTGAAAAATTATGTACTTACGTAATGAGTAACAATAAGTGGTATCTGGGTCCAAATATAATTGTTTTTTTTAACACTACAATTGTATTTTTCTGACTCAATCAAAAATAGTGATAACATTGTTGGCAAGTATACTTTTATCTATGTTTTTTTTTTTGAATTTCAGCATTTGTGAAACCCATTTGTCTTCCAAAATCTTCATTCGATCAGGCAATAGAGTTCTCTGGTAAAAATCTGACAGTTGCTGGTTGGGGTAGCACTGGGGAAAAGATGGAAAGTCCTGTGAAAATGAAATTAGTGGTGAGTGAGAATATCTTCATATCTGCTAGACATGGAGTAAACGTAGGCGAAAATTCAAGAATGATTCGAGATCGGCAAGATCCTCCCCAGCCAACATTTTGAGATAATTATATACCAAAGCGGAGAAGAAACATTACTTGAAGAAGTCGAAATTTCACTAATTTCGGACACGATATTTTACCTCCATGGCCTGAGTAAATATAGAGAGTTATGGATTAGATTGTATAAAATGCATGAAAAGGACCATATATAATTTTTTTTTGAATCATCAACTATGTAGGCAAATTGCACAGCAGGAAATTACTCACTTCAAACATAACTTCATAGTCCTAGGAGATTCTTTGTCTCCTCTTCACCTAATCAGCACCAACCTGTGTCTGATGAAGGCAAGATTACCACAATAAATTCCTTATCGAACGAAGTGTCTGAGACGGTCGAAAGTACCACTAGTTCATCCTATCGCTCTTCGGATATACTGATTTAGCCTAGGAAAAACTAGTTTATCCTAAAATCGGGTTTGTCCAGTAACATATACATGTTTGATGTGACATCAAAATATATGAACAAACATAATAATATGTGAAAATAATACAAACATGATATAGTGAGCCGACTTAACAACTACATTATTGGTTAAAATTATAAAACTATAAAAATTCCTATTCAAACAAATACACCATAGTTTCCTTGATCCCAATGTAAACGATTCCCAACAGAAGTATTTCTTGCCGATCGAGAAAGGTCGGCAAGTACGTTCTTGATTAAGTCGTATTGAAATGCCACATATTCATTCACAATATGTTCAAAGGAAACCGTGAATAACATTCAACATATGGTTCGAAACAAACAAGTTTCGCTTGAAAATTTTATCATTCTTCCTAGAAAACATACGTAGTATATTATTTTTTTTATCTCATGGACAAAAAGCAATAAACTCATCTCAGACCCTTTACAGTATGTGTTTGAAGAAAGAAAATTATTTGGACCTCGTTCAGATGGACCGAGCTAGCCTTGTCCGTTTCACAATCCAAAAATGATATCCAGTTGTTGGAAAAAAGGCATGCATAGTGAAAAACCAACCACTATATCTCTCGATACCATGTCCTTATTCATCTTATACTAATAGGTCAATAGTTACTGAAATCTATAAGTATTCTGGTCGCAACATATGAAAACTGAATCGATTAAAAGTCATTTGCGGTTATAATCTGTGTAATGGTCACCGAACATCAAGTGTAATGGTCAACTGAGGGCTATTAGAGACATACTATGTGTTTATTATCTAAGATACAAGATACAAGACCTTATTGACAAACATTGGCAAAAGAAGACATGAAAATAATCACATTCAAATGAATAAGAAATTACAAAATTATATGAAAACAACACATATAAATAATCACATCCACGTTAAAATACACATTATATATTATCATTACATATAAGTACGGGCAATATTCTAAAACGTAGATTGAGGTTAGTGTCAATATTCCGTCTCTCAGGAAATGAGGTTTGCAACTCAGTCTATTTAATTGACTTGATAATTTTGCTATACTTTTCATTATCCATTATGAGGTGATCGAAGGAGGGTTTATTAGATTTATTGCAATAGGATGGAACGGAACATGTTTCTTCATGGTTGACGGTGAGCAGTTTATGGTCAAACCAATTTTGCAATAATAAAAAGTCAGTTTCCACTAGAACTTTCAACTCTTTCCAAGAGTTGGCTCTGTCACAGATTAACAAATAAGGTTTGTTAATCTGTGGCTCTGTAGAAGATGGCAGTGTGTCATCTGCAAACCCAATAATATCTCCTCCACTTCTCAAGGAAAACAATCCATTCACATAAATATTGAATAAAGTGGGTCCCAAAACAGTACCTTGTGGAACGCCACATTCGAATACTTACACTCTGAAGTCTATCGGAAAGGTAACTTTGGAATAGATTTAGAGCATTATTTCTAATGCTGTTATCCTCCAGTGTTTGCAAGAGCAGTCGGTGACTGACTGTATCGAAAGCTTTCGATAGATCAATGAATAAGCATGGATAAGCAATGTGATTGATTTTGTTTTATTGAGATTTAAACATAGAAAGTTTGCATCGCAGCACGATTTGATTTTTACTGGGCGTTGTAATTTTAACCAGCTTAGGTTAGGTTAGGTTAGGTTAGGTTAGGGGCGAACACCTCCCCTCCACTGCGACCCCAGATGGGTCTATTGTGGCTCACCCCTAGAGGTTACAGTTCACCGTACAATCCACATCTTTTTACAAAGTTCATGGTTGAATTGGGTGAGATTTGTCTGAAATCGATAGGTTCTAGGTTGGTAAAGCCAAATGTGTCGAACCTTAGTCTTTCTAAGCTAGAGCATGAACATAATATGTGTTCAGCCGTTTCGTCTTCCACACAACAGAACCGACAGTCCGTTTGTTGGTTCAGACCCATCCTTCCCAGGTGGTATCTTAGACGACAGTGTCCCGTAAGCAGTCCAGTCAGAATTCGCAGGTTACCCCTGCTCCATTCTAGGATCTGCCTGGTTATTTTTTCCGATGGTTTAGGCAGGAACGCCTTCGAATGGGTTAATCCTGGTAATTCGGACCAGTACGTGAGTGTTTTTCCCTCCGCCCAGCCCGCGATAGTTGTTTTCGCCGCACTTGCGGTGACCCCAAAATATGGTTCTGGTCCTATGAACACAGATTCGGTTCCCTGTTTGGCGAGGATGTCGGCTTTATCGTTACCCTCCACCCCCCTGGTGTCCAGGCACCCACAGCGAAGTGACTCTGTTGTTAGCACCCAGACTTTCTAGGGATTCAATGCAGCTCCATACAAGCTTGGGATTGATTTGATATTCTAATGAATGATAAAACCTATTTATAGTAGCTTTCTTACACCAGGTTCCTGTCAGAGCCAACCCGGACTGTCAACGGACCTACCGCCAAGCCGGAGTCAACCTGAACGTCGGTCAGCTTTGCGCAGGCGGCGTCAAAAACAAGGATTCCTGCCGAGGTGACAGCGGCGGCCCTCTGATGAGTCTATACGCGGACGAAATGGGGGAGATAAACTGGTACTCGATCGGCGTGGTCTCCTTCGGACCGTCTCCGTGCGGAATGGAGAATTGGCCGGGAGTGTACACCAAGGTCGCCAACTACGTGCCCTGGATCGTTTCGAAGTTGAGAGGGTAGAGATGGAGGCTGTTTGGGGGGTGCGGTCCAAGTGCCAAGATTGTTTGTTTGCATTTTACGCAAATACTAAGCAGTAGGGCCCCACTCATACAGGATGTGTCAGTTTTTAGTAGCAGGACAAATACGTATTTTCGAAAAGAAAAGTTCATGTGAATATACAGGGTGATCCACGGTGGATGGCCTATTGGAAGTATCTGGAGAACGAAAAGACAGAACATTCTGAAAATTAGGATGCTTTGATGATTGAACATTCTCTATCCGTCTAAGATATTGTCATCGATATAGTGTTGCCACTTCTATCAGAAACAACTAGCAACTTTTAAATGGAGCACCCTGTATTTTATTGCATTCTTAGATTCTTCCTGAAGAGCTGATTCCATCAATGTATCATACTTGGGGTCTAGCAGGAATGATTACAGAGATATAGGGTGTTCAAAATCGGGATTTTTCAATTTTAGGATTTTTTGTGTCTGAATCTCTGTATTTTTTCCAATTAGATTTCAGTAGATAGTGAATCAAAAGTGAAGATGGGACATGTGGGCCGTTTTGATCGATAATGAATAGTTTCGACACAAAAAAATCCTAAAATTGAAATATCTCGATTTTGAACACCCTATATCTCTCATTGATGAAATCAGCTCTTCAGGAAGAATCTAAAAATGCAATGAAATACGAAATAATATCACTTGTGGTATCACATTTCGAACACAGCCTATTTGTCATTTCTTAATAATTGACTAGAAGACTATTGGAATGATCGATAGCTTTCATAAGAAGTCAGTGGCAAAACTTGAAAAACACAAAAAAAAAATATATAAAAATATCACACCACCTGTATTTCGGAAAAGATGCACCTAGACGTATATCTATTCATATGACATTTTTATCTCAAAATAGACTCTTCTTCAAGCTGTTCAAGTCCTGCTACAAAGAACTGACTCACAATGTATATCCATCCTTTTGCTTTTGGTTCATGACTTGGGGTTGAGAATGAAATTCTGAGAATTTGTATACGGTTCTCACGATTGTCTGCAATTTGTTTCCATAATATTATTTATAGTCAAGGTCAAGATTACCATTTGAATTCTAGAGGTAGAGCCAACAGAGTGTGATATTTTCTGAATCTCTTCATATTGAATATTGCGTTGAAGACTGCAATAAACTGCAAGCGAAAAAACTTTTTTTTTTTCACAAAAACGATTCTCATTGCATCGAGGGTATGTGTAAGACCTGTATAACTCAAAGTTAACTTTTTCGAATGAATGTTGAGTTTATCGCTCAATTATAACAACAAAATCACTCCAACAAATAGTTGATATACACACACACCTAAGTGCAGCAACTACTGCATAGATTTCTATGAAATGAAAATTTTCAGAAAAAAAATGAGACTGAGTTCGAGATTCTCTATCTAACGAATCAACTCTCACTTGTAGCGTAGTGCGACGTTGTCATATTGTGATGTTAACATTTTGGTTTCTTTCAAGAATTCGTGTGTTCCGACTATGAGCTTTACTGTGAATCGTTTTGAAGTGAAGAACATTTCATTAGGGCTTCTTGAGTGTGAAATTAATTTATACATACTAGTACCAGGTCGGAAATTTTCTATAGGTATATCTGATTGGTTAATTTATTCAAATGACCTTGAAAGGTAACCGACAGAAAAGGGTTCTGGTTAATATCACTCAAGAAGGTATATTTGGAGTTATTACATGAGCTTACTGTCCGTGATGGCAGTGTCTTTGATTACAGAGAGACAGAGTTTTGGCCAAGGCATTTTTTATTTAATTTTATTGATAGGAGAGAATATATATTATATACGAATAAAACAATAAATTCTGAGAATGAACTGTTGCTTTATTATCCATCTATACTACCCTACTATCATTATATATCTATTCGTGATTGAACATCACAGAGAGAGAGTCCCAACTCGATTTAGACATTTCTTGGGTTAGGTCTTTGATATTGAAACAATCATGATCCGGAAAGATGGAGATTAACTCAACTTAACTTAACACGTTCCAGAACTTGTCTTCAAACTGCACTGCACTATAAACAGGATGTTTCAGATTGTAATCGGGAAAATTTAATAGGCGATAGAAACAGTATACGCACGAAAAGAAGGGTTCATGAGTTTTGGTTCATCGTTTTAGAGATACAATAGTTTTTTATTCACAGCTGATAAACTCCTTTTAGCTGATATTTGTTGAACTATATATATAATTGGTTATTTCTTGGCGTAACTAGATTCACTATGATTAGTCCAGTGGCGCTCTAGAGGTTGAACTGACTGATATAAATATACATATATATGGTAGAAATCATTGTACTCCATTGTTTTTATTTTCATTCGATTTGATAATCAAAGATACTTTCTTGTTCCTTGAGTTTCTCCGTATCTTGCTAGTCCTCGATGAGATCAATAATATAGGTTAATCATTCTAGGCATCCATTGGGATCACTCGATAACGATACCTAATAATATAACCTATAATTGGTGCAGTTTGAGAATTAGTCAATCTGAATTTTGACATTATGAAGGCTCATTCAGGGTGATATTGGAAAAAGGCACAAAATATTCCAACACCCTGTATCTCGAAAAACCAAGCTCCAAAACCGCTTTACAGACAAAACTCCAGCAGGAAAGAAAGCAGTGAAGAACTATGTTAGGTGACCAGGAGCTACACCTTATATCATTGCTAATTTTATTATTAAAATTGATTTAGACATTATTATGGATTCATCAAATCATTTACTATCTGAAACTTGAAATATAAATAGGGCTGCAGTTTGAAGAATCAAAGATTGGGGTGATTCTGGAAGAATTGATTTTAAGATTATTTTGTCTACATTAAAATGATGCCTTACTTGATTTCCTTCACTTTTGATCTTCAATTGATAACCATATTCACTGGGTAGGCCAAATTGAAAAGTCCCATTTTCAAACTAAATGACCGAAAAATGATATCGGTGCCTGAGGGGAAAAATAATATTTCAGCAAGGAACATAACAATATAGATTTATATATGATCCTATATACAGTATATCATTCTGCAACATTAAATCCATCAATAAAATGGTTTACATTGATTCAAATTGCCTTGGTAATTTTAAATATTTCATGTTGAACAGTTCTCGAATTACAAAGTTTCGAAAGTTTTCATAGGCAGGAAATAATAGAAAATGAGGTAAATGGAATTTGTTAATTTTCTGAATAATCTTGGCACATACCGTTCTGCCGTTGATTCTGAATCTTATCATACAAAACCGCGAGTAGCTGAATTCACATGAACAATTATCAAAGCAATTTTTTCGTTATATAAAGGTTTGTTAATCTGTGCCTGCAGTTCAAATTTCAGAGCTCTCGCGGGATATAACCAATGAGCAGTCTCATTGGGATGTCCACTTTTTCGTACATAATGCTAGAATAACTGGTTTTTGGTAGGAAATCTTGATTGCCACTTCTAATGGTCAGTTCAATACGGGCTATTGTTGATAGTATCCATATCCTGAAGTTGCTTAATGATAAGAAATTAACAAGCTCAGTGCAAACTACATTTTAATCGAACAATATTGTGGAATTTCCAAAGCTGCAACTGATTCTTATGTATAGCTCAAAATATTCACATACATAGGATCTTCATTATTCAGTATAAGTTGAGAATGAAGGCTATAGGTATAAATAGACATTGCGTGACCATAGTTTTTGTGGGAACTTTCATATTAGCAACAATAGGAAGATCACGTGAGTAACAATAAATTATGTATGCGTCCATCCAATATGATAATAATTATTGGTAGATCTAGGGTAAATGCACTGGTTCTCGATCAGTTAATCAAAATGTTAACTTTGATAGTGGTAAATTCGTGTACAATCTCATAATATTGTATTGGAGTTAGTGTATATCGATTCCTGGAAAACTTGAAAGTAATTTGTGAATATTTTATAAGCATTTTTTTTGCATTCAACTTCTGAAATCTTGTTAAAATGCAAAAATCTACAATTTCACTGGTTCATATATCCCTTTTCGTGGGAACCAGAACATAAAAAAACACCATTTCATACTCAGGCAGACTCCTGAAAACTGAATAACTGAAAAATACTTATTTTCAAACATAAGAACATGAGGATAACTTGATGGTTATTGCCCCTGTCATTGTTTTCGATTCCTATAAGAGTTATGAAGAAAAAAAAATCAACACAAATCAAATTTTTGAATATGTGAAGCTGCATTAGGTACTTCATGGTGAAATATTATGCATATTTCAATGTAAAAATCATTTCATAAACTTTGTCATGAGAGAGATAATCAGATATGATACATGGTCGTGAACCAAAATTTAGTGCGAACTGGTTATCGACCACAGTGGTCGAGAACTGAATATGGTCAAATTGGTTTTCGACCATCAATAAATGATTTCCAGAATAAATATTATCTAGGCCTAATTTGATGTCGCGAACTAATATTTAACAAGTGGATATGTAAATGAATCAGTATTTCGAGAAATTTAGCATTTTCATAGAAAGTATATAACTAGACATAAACAATTATTCAAGATATGTTCTGGTTCTCGACCACTTTGGTTGAGAAATGAAAGAGTCAATATTTGTAAAACTGGTTCGTGACCACCAAATATTTAACAAAAAAATATTATTTTGGTCTGTTTTTTGTTGAAATACAGGAAAACCCATATCTACTAATTAATATATAACAAAACTCATATACCTGATGCATGCAAAATGGAAATTATTCACTATTTTCTGGCCTAGTATCAACTAGAACTTCTCAAACATGGACGATAACACAGCCTCTGTCAATGACAGCCGGTTATCAAATAATTTTCTGTGCGAAAAGCTCGACTTTTTGTCCCACTCTGCCAGCTAATTCGAATTAACTGAAGTGACTGAAAACACATTTTATATTAATTTCAATAGAATAAGTCTATGGTATAAGGAATATTTCTTTTATTATTTTGTCTCAAATGGCGAGAACCAGTGCCGGTCGGTTAACCAGTGCATCTACCCTACCTTACTAAATCAAGAACCCTTTAGTGCCCAACCTCAGTAAAATCAATATAATATCAAATTTGACAGTTGTTTCCAATCCCTATATGTTCAAATAAGACCTATGAATTTTTTCAATTTTTTCCGGTGGCAAACAAAAATGTTCGGAATTTTGGACGCAAAAGTTCCATCAGGAATAAATTGTATGAAAAGTCACATCATCCTACATATAAGGCGAAAGTTATTCCAAGGAGAACATATAGAAAATCAATGCTAAATTTGATGATATTCCATGAAACAATTGTTTTCTACTAGTGTGCGGAAAAGTCCACTTCTCAATACTCATTTTAGAGTCACTTTTGCGCACTGGTGCGGAAAAAACTAGTGTAAAAAATAGTGTACCTTATAAGTGCGTGAAGTGACTTTTCGCACTACTATGTTTTCTGGTGTGGATGGCATACATTTTGGACTGCATACATTTCGTATCTCCCACGATCTTCTTCATATAATAAGAGCGTATTTTCGAATTGGTCATCGATGTTATCGCGTTCATCTTCTTCTACATCACTCAAAATGCTATTATCTAGATGTGAATCTTCTAGAAAAATTGTATCCGCAAGTACCAGCAACTCTTTATCATTCAGTGGTGTATCGTCAGCCATATGATTTTTCGCTGATCCATTGTGTTCTTAGTTCCTGGCGGTACTTCCGGGTCGCATTTAAGCATTCCGGTATAGGATTCGGCACCTGCTTAAATTCTATTGGCGGATTTTGATTTGTCTGACCAATTAAAGGCGAAGTGCCGAAATCCGTACCAGAATGTTGAGCGGTGCTGAAAAGCAGGTCGGAATGTTGCCCTGCATTATGCGCGGTTTTTGTTTACATCCTCGCATTTACCTAACCTGCGTATTTTTTGATTTTACCGTCGTTCCCACATGCTAACACCAAACCTGCAATCTTGTTATTATAGTTAAGTGCAATCATCAATTAGTGAAGTATACCATAAATCACTAATTATGGAAAGATTAATAAAAGTTTCAGAAATTTTGGCAATATGAAGAATGAAACAGAAGTTGTGCAATGGATGAATGATTATGAAGCTCAGTCGTGTACATCATGGCGTTTCAAATCAGGACCTACAAATATTAAAAGATTCTTGTACAGGTAACAATTTTATGTTTTTCAAATATTTTTTTATTTGCTCATGAAATGTATTCGAAGAAGACGAAGACGCAGTTTGGCAGGTAACGTGGCGATCCCATGGAATAGGACATAAACAGAGATTAAGTGTTCTAATGATTGTTATTTCGAATTTATTATCTCATTTTATTACATATAATCATTCATTCTAAACTTTTATACCAAATAATCATCATGAATATAAATGAAAATTTCTAAAGTTATTGAAAAATGCGTTCATTACACATTATCTCGAGCTTTCATTTCATCAACATTCCGACCTGTGTTTCAGCACCGCTCAACATTCTAGTACGAATTTCGGCACTCCGCCATCAATTGGTCAGATGAATCAAAATCGGCCAATAGAATTTAAGCAGGTGCCGAATCCTATACCGGAATGTTTAAATGCTTCCGGGTCAGATCAAGAAAACGATATATTTTCACGAATATAATTGGAATTTGCAGTGACTAATTATTATTTTCTAGTGATGAAGTGTTAGGTGATTATTTTTGATGATCACCATGAGTATAGAACGATTATTATTGAAAATAAACGTATCACAATCTGCAGAAAACACCACTCTATGACACGTTGTGAATAACTGCCCAAAATACGGGAATGGTCGAAGATCGGATACTCACGAATTATTTCATTGGTGTGCCACGTGATAAAATTTATCTTAAAACGAAGACAGAAATTGGAGAAACTCAAAAGTACCGTCAAGCACTAAAGGGTTAAAATTCTGTTTGGAAATGGTTCTCACATATTTCCCATGAGTGTCTTGTTTTTGAGTTTTAGGCAAAATAAAGGTGTTTTTAATATTTTAGATGCACAGGAGTTATGTTTGACACCTGTAAACTCTAGAGGAGACTGTAAATCGATAGAAGCTTGCCCAAGGCTGTACAAAATGCTCACACACAGACCTATTACCAGACAAGATGCTAACTATCTCAGGGATTCCATGTGTGGTTTCGAAGGCAGATTACCTAAAGTATGCTGCCCTTTTGATGAGCCTGAAGTAACAACAACAAGAAGACCATACGAATTTGATAATGGTAACTTTCTATAATTTCTTAGCGAATCTTGTGATTATGTATATGTTGTATGTGCAGAACTCAATTTGCCTTATTTCGCCTACCAAATCAATTGGTATAGGTACTATGGACTTGTACTTGAACTTAAAACACGACTCTCTCTGTTGATTTCAGGCTCTTCTTTAGGTGTGGATCTTCTACCCTCTAAAGTCATTTGTGGCTTCAATGTTCCTGATAGAATATATGGTGGCAAAGAGGCTGATCTCAATGAATTTCCTTGGATGGCCCTTATACAGTATCAAAGAGGTAAATGATGAACAAAAAGAACAAGGAAAGAACTTGAGATGGTTTTTCAATATATTCGCAACTATCCCTGATTTTTCTTCAGGCCTTTATGATTCCACATAATTGATTGAACTGGTGATTTTTAGAGAATGGCAGACGTGGATTCTATTGTGGAGGCGTTCTAATCAATTCTAGATATGTACTCACTGCTGCCCATTGTGTAAAAGGAAAAGATATTCCTCGTTCATGGAAAATGTAAGTCACCAAGATGTCCAAACATATTAAGCGGTGGAGAGAGAGATTTCTGCTTTTAATTGTTGCTATATTGATTCTGTTACGAGTTCTGTTCTGTTTAAGAGCAGTAATCTTCCTTTGTACTGACTTGCATCTTCTATACTAATATTATAAAGGAGGAGTTGTTATTATTCCAGATTTTTTGGGATTTTCTCTCCTCGTCTCTATAGAATAAAAATATGAATACTATTTCAATATACGTGTAGTAAGGACAAATCAGATGATTTGCACCAAAATGTCACTGCGTTTAAAGAATTTTCCTATCAGAGAGCCTGAAAGAAAAGTTCACTAGCTCGTCAGTGACAATTTGTTTCGAAAAAGGTTTGGAGAAGAAAAATAATAGTTCTCAGTGAGGATTGGTGACGTTGGCAATCAAATGAGTTACAAATCATCTGATTTGTCCTTACTACACGTATATTGAAATATTATTCATATTTTCATTTTATAGAGACGAGGAGAAAAAAATCCACAAAAAATCTGGAATAATGAATTTACCTTCAGACATTATTTGAGGAGTTGTTTGTTTGTTAGTGTGTCATCAGTTTGTTTGTTTGTATTGAATAGGGTCCGAAACTCCTAGACTGTTTAGAAAAATTCTTCAACCACTAGAAGCCGAAATCATCCCTGATGAACATAGGCTAATTTTTACTGGGAAAATGCTTCATTCCTACGGGAAAACGGGTAATAGAACAACAGGTAGTAAGAATTACCCTTCCGTACTTATCTTTTCCACATAACTTCTAAACGACTGAACCGATTGGAATGACATTTTTTATGAGTATTATGATGGTTTCCTAGATGGTTTGAAAATACAATTGGGCGCGGTAGGTGGCGCTGTTGTCGGTATGTCAACTACTAAACGGCTTGACTGATTAGGTTGAAATTTTGTATGTGTCTATTTCCATGGTTTCACGAACTGAGAGAATGAAAATAGGTGTAAGTATATAATAGTTGCTATTGGTAAGCACAAAAATTGAAAAAATAACAAAATATTTGTACTTTAGATACGCGCATAGCTCAGACGACTGCAACAAATGACTTATTTTTTTTTATATGGGTATACCAACCGTACGAAGCCGGGCTGGGCAGCTAGTATATTATAACAATAGATCAGCACCACCACATATATACTAGGATCCAAAATCTACAACCCCTCTCAAAAATTAAAATAGTAACATTGTTCACCAAATTATTTTCTGAAACTATAGAGAGCTTAAAGAATGTTGTAACGGCAATATCAAAGAAAATTTATTGCTTACTCCTTGTTTTGGGGAACATATAGAAAAATGAAGGAAACGCAATATCTGGAAGAAGTTCCTCGAGGCAATGAAATGAAGTAATATAGCATTATCCCATTTTTTTTCTATTCCAGTGTGGGGGTTCGTCTTGGCGAATACGATACTGAATCTGACATAGATTGTAAAGACAATGGCCTGACAATGGCCAGGCAATGTGCTCCACCTCCTGTAGATGTCCCTGTAGAAGAAAGGATTGCGCATGAACAGTACGATCCGTACAATTCGAATCAGTATAACGACATTGCATTATTGAGACTGAGTAGAGATGTAAAATTCACAGGTTTGTAGATTTAGGGAATGTTTAAATAGATTGATAGTCTATGTGGAAAAATCAAAATATCGCTAGTTTTCATAGATTGATTCGATTATTAAATGTTGACAGAATACATGTACTGAGTCTCTTCAAGGGGCTACTGATTATACCTCACAGTAGAGACGCAATTTCCTAGGGACGTCCCTTTTATTTGGTACAATTCAAGTCCGACTATCCTGGACCTGGAAAAATTGTCCTTGGAACGTCCGATCCCGTATATCTCATGCAATTTCCAAGCAAGGACATCCATGGAATGTCCCATTATATGTACATCATTTCAGATGTCCTAGAAATAGCATCCTTTAGACGTCCCACGTGGTACATATTGTCGAATGTCGATGCAAGGACGTCCTCAGCATGTTCCTGATGGAATATGTAGTTAGTACATAAGTAGTACATATTCTGGCATGACTCCAGATCGTATTTATATAATGTTCCTTCTAGAACAACCATGAAATGTCCCAGACGGTATATTTCTTCAAAGATATCTGCACGGAAACCTTTAATATTTCCAGTATCATGAGTACAACGTCTAATAGACATCCCAAGGACTTCCTCAGAATGTCTTGGATACGATTCAGAATGTGTCCAAAGGGACAATCATCGGTGGTATACATTGGCATCAAGACTTCAGATAGATATATCCTATGTAAATGTCCTTCACGCAAGCGAATTATCATTCTTTCCTCCAATGTGCTAGAAATAACGTCTTACGGTCCTCTCAGTCGATACGTTTGATATGTTGTCCCTACGAGGACGTCAACTTTCACCTCGCCGACGATCGTCTGCTTGTAAGCGATTGATACTCCCCATCAATGTCCTTTATGAGAGTCCATTGAATATCCTTGAGAAACTTCTTTGATGGGACCTCTTGGAAATCCGCGTCAGGATCTATTGGGAACCTTCTATACGGACCATCAACTCAACTGGATGTCCTCATCATGCTTATGGATGATCTGGTCCTAGGGAGACCCAAATAAATTCAAATCCAAGAATACTTCATAGGTCCCTGGGGCATCCTATGGACATTCAGTTAATATTCCTCAGCGTTGCTGATAGGTTGTCCTACAAATGTCCTCCGTAGTGCTTGACGAGAAATACTCTGTAGGATTAAAGTATTCGATAGTTGTTCCAGGAACATCTATTCAGGGCGACCATTGTTGGTCCTCAACTGCGTCTCACAGATGTCCAATATAGACGCCCGCGGTACCAAATTCGAACGTCCTATGGACGTCAAAAGGATCTCTATGGGACATAATTGTGCTATTTGGGATCCTTTTTGCTTCATGATAATAACGTTGTTAGGCTGCATATTTCCACTTATGATGTCCTGAATTACAGGACTTGATGAGGGTATCCTGGTGGATACATTTCTATAAGTGAACCTATGAACACACCTCAAACTATCACCAGAAACTTGATTGTTGATACACAAACAAATCCATGAAAATTATCTTCCATAATGGTATCAAGTTCTTCTCCACACATCCTTGATTGAGATTTGACATCCGGTTCCCTTAGAAAGTCTGTAAAACGTCTTCAGATGTCGACCCTGATGGATTGTGAGAGAATATTTTTTAGTCGTCATTTGCATGTAGAAAATGGTAACATGTAGACGTCCTAGAGACATCATTAGTGTATCATTTAGAACTTCTTCAAAAATTCCCCGAGACGTTTTCAGGACGGGTCTGAGAGGTTATTTGCTCATAGAATATGGTAACAGGTGGACGTTCTAAGACCTTACTGAAAACCATTTTTTCACTGAGACATGTTTATTTCTTTCTAAGCTCATCCAGAATCACAATTTCATTATAAACTATTCGATTTTTCAGATTATGTTCGCCCTGTTTGCCTTCCAAGGACTGCTTCAGACAGAAGGAAATCGTTCGTAGGTAAAACGTTGACAGTTGCAGGTTGGGGAAAAACTGAAAAGAGATCAGAGAGTTCTGTGAAATTAAAACTGGATGTAAGTCATATGGTCGAAAGTTGAAATTGGGACATTTTCGTTCGAATCTGAGGAATTATATTGTTTTTGAATATCTGGACTCTGGACCGGTTTATTGAGTATGTTTTTAGGAGCCATTTTCGTTGGTTTTCGATTGTTCTGACTTATTCATGAGGTCATGCCAATCATACTCCTCAGGAACCAATACCTTGTACCTTGTGTTTAAATTGGTGTGTTTAAATCCAACTGGAAATCATTCATCTTTTTTTTACTCCCGATAATTTGATGGTGATACTGAGAGTATCACTCTATAATGCAAAAAATTGATTTTTCAATGGAACAAATATTATGGGTCATCACCTCTAACTTTTTTCATTGTTCAATAATTGCATTTGAAAGTTTTGATTAAAAGTGAGTTCGGCCACGGGAGTTGATATATTGTCACGAGCGGGTTCTAACCCCCACAATCGTAACTCGAACTTACTCGCTTGCAAGAGGTTTTATGAAAAGTATAATCAAAGAATTCAACTCCACTTTATAAATTTATTCATCTTTATTGAAAACCAATTCGAGCATGAGATGAATTGACCAATTTCCCAGCAAGATACATCCAACTCAAATAAAAACAAAACAAGAAAACTAAAACTAGTAATATTAAAAAACGTACTTACAGAAAGGCTCGCTTTTCGTTGGAGGATTGGAACTGCCACTCACGAAGTTTAGACATGATGCAAAAATGTTCAAGATTTACTTTTTTGTTAGCGAATTTGAAAAAACTATACTTTACGGTCCACTGTCCGAACCACAACTGCCGGTTTTTTCTCTAATACTTTTTCATGTCGGTTTTGGTAGTGCTAAATGATTCAGCATAAAAACTAGTGTATTCACCTCGATTAGGAAAAATCCAGCGACTTTACTTGAATATAGGATTGAAATCCGAACTATAATTTCCTTTGAATATCGTAATTCTCTACTGATATCCTGTAAGCTAAATAATTCTAAGAATATGATCTAGACTAGGTTATTGTACAGTCGTCTTCAGATACCATGTCGCGGTTGGACAGTGTCAGCGCTCTTATTGCAGGAGTTATCAAGAATGCTATAATCGTCCATATGGGACATGTTTTCTGAAGACGACTGTACTGTAATTTCAAATATTCCCAATGAAATTATTATAGTTTCGATCCATTCTTGACAATATTATCAACATACTTTATTTATTATATCTACTCACTGAGTTGAAAATAGGCGTTTGCTTCCTCATTCAAGGAAACAAAGAGGTCAATTTACTCCCACGGTAAGAAAAAAAATATCAACTCCCGTGGGAGGTGAAATTAATTGGCTTCAGAATGCACCCTTTGGCGTTGACATACAAATAAAATCTGTTCAATCCAAGTAATCAGTCTCTTTATCACTATTATGAAACAACTGTTTGAATGCCAATGATATCATACGCTTCTTCATATTCCAAACGTACCTCTAATAAAAACTTTCAAATGGGGCTACACAATATACAAATCAATCTATTTATGATGACAAAAGTGTCAAGTTGACTTTCCAATGTGTGTTTAATGCCCTCGACAACACGTCGTGCAACAAACTTCACACGCGGTAGGAAATATATATACAGTGTGACCCACTTCTAATTGAACCACCCCTGTATCTTACGTAATCGTTGGGTAAGGATCCTGAAATTTGCTGGAGCGAGAGATATACCAAAAATGCACTCTATGACCAAGTGGGGTCATCTTCAGTGATATACACTTCTCGCCAACAGCCATGAAACTACCCCAAAATAGGTCGAAAATCACTTCAGATTTGGAATCAGGACGCCCAATTTACTAACTATTCAAATTTTTCCTGGCAAAGCACCCCCGTATCTCACGTAATTATTGAGGTAGGGTTCTGAAATTTGCCGGAGGAAGAGAAAGTCCAAAGATAAAGTCAAGTGATTTCCGACCTATTTTGACTCCTAATATCATTTTCCGGAAATTGGGGTAGTTTTATGGCTGTTGGCGAGCAGTGTATATCACTGGAGATGACCCCACTTGGTCATAGAGTGCATTTTTGGTATATCTTTCGCTCCAGCAAATTTCAGGATCCTTACCCAACGATTACGTAAGATACAGGGGTGGTTCCATTAGAAGTGGGTCACACTGTATATACCTTTCCTCCCTTGATATATAAATAGCTATTATTTTCTACTCCTTTTTAGTTTGCCTATCAATGAAACTATTCTATTTATTAAGATTCCCGTTAGGAGCAACCAAGAATGCGGCGAAATCTACGAAAGCGCAGGGGTGACGCTCAACGGCGGCCAACTCTGCGCTGGGGGTGAGAAGGGCAAAGACTCCTGCAGGGGCGACAGCGGAGGCCCGCTCATGACCCTCTACGAGGACGAGAACGGAGAGATAAACTGGTACTCGATTGGCGTGGTCTCGTTCGGACCGTCGCCCTGTGGAATGGAGAATTGGCCGGGGGTTTACACCAAGGTTGCTGATTTCGTGCCGTGGATCATCAGCAAGTTGAGATTGTAGGAGTGAAATAATAAGTGCCCAAATTTTGGTCTCCATTCCTTTTATTATTGTTTTTTTGGATTTTGATTTTCCATTCGATGATATACTGTGTGTCAGTTGGCCCGAGGAAATATAAATTAAGAGATTTTTCATTTATTTCATCTAATATATATAATTCTCCTGTCCCTGTCGCGATTTTACTAAAAATATACTGATGCACGCTAGCACAAACCACGCCCACCATAATACGTCATATCTCCAAACATTACCGATATACTCGGAGTCAGCACATCGCACTAAATATACTGTGCTCCAACGCAAGAATACACTTTTTATGATTTTGACACGAATTCGACTGAAGCTCTCTCGTTGTCAATCTCTTGTACGCAGTAAATTCATACACCCAATTGGTCTACTGGATAGCGCTGTCGACTTTCAGTCTGAAGGTCCATGGTTCGAATCGCTGTGAACTTGAACTTTTTTTTGCAACTTTTTTTTTCACCAATGTTTTTTTACTTCATTCTGGTTTTCCTTTTTCATAAAATATTTGAAGTCGAATAGGTTAGTGCGTTTAGGATAAACAGTCTCATTTTATTCAATTTTGTTGAAGAACTCAACTTTTGAAATATATTATTATTCAATGTTTTTCTACACTCCGGTTTTCCTTCCTCAAAAATATTGCAACCAGGGATAGGTTAGTTCGTTGAGGATAAATAGTCTCTGAGTTTTGCCTAAGTAAAGTACTTTGAAGATGAGATATAACGGTGGGCGTGGTATGTGCTAGCGTACAGTATATTTAGTAAAATCGCGTCCCTGTCACGGTGTTTGTTGCCAAACTCCTCCAAAACGGCTTGTACAATGACCATTTTTGTGCACATCCGGTTGGTCTGAGAATCGGTCGTATAAAAACTATTTTTCAAATTGAAAATTCAAGATTGCGGATACAAAATGGCTGAAGAGTTTTGTAATCCGATTTTATTCGAAATTAGTAACCAGGGGTCTTCGGGGTCAGAGATTATATGTCTTTCGTCAAACATTGGAAATTCAAGATAGCGGACCCAATATGGTGGACAAGTTTTGTAATTATGGTCCGATTTTATTCAAACTTGGTATTGGGGGTTTTCGGGGTCGGAGATTACCATTCCTTCGTCAAAATTGAAGAATTCAAAATGGTGGAATGGATGTGGCGTAGGAATTCTTGAATTTATGTTCTATATGAGAAGGCATCGGAAGTACTGTAACGTTTTCCATATATGACTCTCCAACAAATTAACTGTATAAAGAAATAAACACATTTCCTTCGAAAGAGCAAGTTAATCAAAATTTACTATTATATCATCACCCATAGCACTAACAAAAAGCTTGAATCGAATTTATTGATAATTAAGAATTCCCAAATTCATGGTCATCACTCTAGACAATATATAATAACTTTCATCTTGAAGCTGCAAATTCTAAACTTGGATAAAAAAGTTTGCACATGAGGCGATTTCGAAATTCAATAAAATACCAGATGATATCGAAAACAGCTAAAAGATATCAAACAATTTGGAAATAAAGTGAAGAAATATAATCTCATGCAAAGAAATCATCAATGCTGACAGACTTCATTTATTTCCTTTTTTTTTCTCCGCTGTTTTTGTTTCTTTCCTTCTTGTTCACTAGATGAGTACTGTTTTTTTTGACATATCTTGATGATATGTTAGTTTTGTTAACTATTTGTAATTCCAATTATACCAACAGTCGCATTACTTCATGACTGATCTTGTACCAGGAATTACTGTCTGATCATTCATGTAACTCCAACTAGAAAATTAATTATACTTTATGTAATATTCTTATCATTAACCGATTCCAAAAAGAGTAAACTGAAGGTACTCTTCAACGAAATAGAAGACATTTGCCAGCAGTAGCAGCAATTGCCAAAGTCATCATCTGACGTTGCGTTGACATGAAAACTATCTACGGGAAAAAAATCCTAACTCCTGACTTGAATTGAAAGTTGGCCATGTTCTCTCTAAGTTTTTAGGTCATCGTAACGTCAGATGTTGACCTTGGGACGTTGGCTACTGCGAATAGAGCTTCAATCGAAGCTCAAATCCAATCGCATCATTGATTTATCGACTTTCAAGTTGATGCCACGGTCATGAGTTGCGTGTTTGCTTTGTATGGTAACTGAAATAAATCTACAATGTGATGTGCTGACAACTCATTGGCGATGTATGATGATGTTGCGGACATACTGGTGCACCTTTCTTAAATCAACAATGAGAAGTCGCAATTCCACAATAATAATTCCTTACAACTTCCTTGCAACCAACACTGGTTAACTGGGTAGTTATTTGATGAGTATTTTCTATCATAAAATATACTGGTGGAAGTCGATTTTGATTAGGAATTTGACAAGAACCAAAAGTTTTCGAACCATTCCCAAGCCTCATTGTCAGATCGGTCACAGTGAATCACGTGATCTCGCACGTGATACATTATGGACGCATGCGCATTCGCTCGTAGAAAAACTAAGAATTAATAACGAGATCCTGGGGGTCTCGGGAGGAAGGAAAACAGCCTTGAAAGCCTAAATCACTGTATATTATTATATAAATGATCACAGTGGGATGACGCTATGCTATTAGTGGACCAGAATAAAACTCTCTGGCCAAACTCAGCCGCCACAATTCTATTGCGAAAAATAATCATACGAATCCCAACATATCAAGTAATGGGAACGGTTCGAAAGATTCAGGCACTTCTGGAATTTGTAGCCTGCTGGTCGTCTGGTAACATCGCGTTAGCTCCCTGCATTTACTGGCTCTCGAAATGTACCATGCGATCCATTGTGACCAAACTAATGAGAATTTAGTAATACAGAATACATTATGAGATTTAGCTTCTCAGTTCTCGAAGTTTCAAGAATTCTGCACAAGAGAGCGGTACTTGTATCACATTCATCTCGTGATTGTTGGTGTACCGCAGGGATCAGTTGAGACCTACAGGTAAGTATACCACCTCCATGTGTAGTTTACCAGTTACCACTTCCATAAATTGTTGGTATAGAAGACGAGAACGTATTTATAGACACAGTGCTCTTTGATTCATTCATACGATACGATAATCATGTTGCTGATATTTATGCTCACTTCTCCATGAAGAAAGCACGAGAAAATACGGAAACTTGAAAACATTTTTGTTCCAAATATGATTTTTTAGCACAATAAATTGTTATAATATTAAGTACTCCAGATAGCATACATTGGTAATCATGAGAGTATAATCTGATAACCTCCATGAAGAGAAAATATTCCTAAGATTTTATATAGATATTCTGAGAATATGTAGATACCTACTCATTTCCAAAATAATTCAAGATAACATATCATCGAAGGACAATAATAACATTCTCTCATTAGTATATTCTGAAAATACCAACTCATATTTTCTATAATGATTAATGAATATTTCGATTGGATAATCTCCAGACTTTGAAGAATATTGAGATAATATATTATTCACAAAATAGCTATTGAGTTAGACTAAGGGGTCTATATTCAGTAACTTGACGTTAGAATCGGATATCGTAGGTAACGACATTATGAACGATAAACTCTAGATGGTGATTTGTATTAATGTCGTTAGAGAAAATCTAGGGACATGGTTATGAATGGGTTTTGTGAATGTTTGTAACACAATATTGATGTTCTGTGGCTGTAAATGCGTGAAACGTTTGTCTGTTACTGGTTCTTCTCGTTGAAAAGTTTTAGAAAACAAGAAAATAATATTTCCCCACTATCTTATCCAACCTGAACATTCAGCGAAGTAGCACATCTCATCTGGTTAATAGTAACTTGGATGGGTTTTTACTTGTATATAGTAGATCAGTTGTAGGTTTCCCTTTTTGTCTTTGTTGTTGTCTAAATTCAAGGATCTATGAAAATATCATCCCAGATGTTATTTCAAAAATTATCACATGTACCAGAAATTATTTTACCTGCGTACCTACTATATTTTCTCCAACTATTTCTACCATTGCTTCCTGGCTATTTGTTATTATTTTGATAATCAGCAAAACAATATCTCTCCAAATCGATCCACCATTTATATTATACATTTTCATATAATAAAATAATCATGTAATCTTCACTTAACGGCAATATAATGTCTCAAAAAGACAGCTCAGCCGACGTCGTCAACAAACGATAAGTTTTTTCGTACAGTTACGACAATCGTTAGCTACAGAATAACAAATAATATCGTTCCGTAACGATTATCGTTCGCTAACGATGTCGTTAAGCGTCACAAAATTGCCCCCTAAACATTTGTTGACTATTGATTGTTTTATTTCGAAACATCTATATCAATCATCTATATACAATAATAAATACATAATTTTATTGATATAAGCCTGATTGATATAACATATAAGACATGACTAGGAGTTCTTGATAGACTTTTGGTTTATAATGCTGTTACATAGCGAGATACCAAGTCAATAAATATAGATATATCTAAGTTGAATAGCGAGACCTTCTCAATAACTACACCGAAAAATATATCTTTGGAACGTCATCGGTTCAATCATCTCTGATGAATTGCCGCTTCATCATTAGGACATGTTCACTCAATATTTTTCTTGTGTAACTAAGCCAGTCGCTACATCTCTTCCATTATTAATAATATGTAATTAATTACTACCTATGTTTTTGTGTGTAATTAGCCCAGTTCACGGTTATTAAAGATTAGTCATGATGTAATTTAAATTCCTTGTTAGATATATCAGGAAGAGATTAGAGATTAGCGATTGAAAAGTAGATCTCACAGTAATCAATTTTTGGTGTAGCTCAGCACGAAGCAACTCAATCTCAATCAAATCTCAGTGTTCTTCACGTTGTCGTTAGTCTATCTTTAAGCTCTGAGTATGCCAATTTTCGGAACGTTTTTCTTTTAATATTGTATTCCTAAAGCACTATATCCTGATATGCATTATGTTTAAATTCGCCTTTTCCATATATTTTTTTTTACTATGATGAAAATCAAGGCCCTAAAAAGAATGAAAGAAGCTAATTATAGGAATACTTTCTTAGGCGAAGAATTGTAACGCTTCGGCATTCTATAGACAAACGAGCTTCGATAGAGAGCTGTTCGATATATCTC